GCCTTGAATTTGGATGAGAATACGCAAACATAATAGAAAACCAAAGGTGCTTTACCTTGTGATGGTACCATCTACATCTGAAATAACTATGCGAGCATTCCATTTCCACAAGTAAATCCTCGCGTCTACCTGTTGAATTAATGAGTTTGTGAACACCAAGTGGATACGGTTATATGACAAACATGTCATAGTAAAGGAAAAAAATGACCTGTTGTGTACCCACAATATTGGTGGAGAACGTAAAAGTCACGATATTCATTCCTTGTTTCAGATCTAGTGAAGCCAATTGGTCAGAAGTTGGAGTTAGTGCCCTGACTGTCTTTTTCACTGGTTTTGGCGACTTCTCTTGTTTCTCCTCAGGCTCAGCAGCGTCGCTAGATGAAGCTTCGGTATCATTCCTTGATCCTCTGCCAGAGAATGGCCAAAGCTTCCAGCTTCCACTGCCCGAAGCTGATACATCACCAGGTTTCTCATTACGGTCAACAGCTATCATGCCGTTGGGCTCAAATAGTTGGCCAGTCCCAAATGAAACCATTCCTAAGATAATAGGAGCTGCTGCATCCCATGGAAAATAGCAGCCACCAACTTTCACGATAAGCTTATCGTTCTCCAGAATTGATGGACCCAAAGAAGCAAACTTTTCCATATCCAGCTTTTCAGAAATGAAGGCCTGAGAAGCCGCTTCCGCTCCCATTCCTTCACTTAATAAGTGCTTGCAGAGAGAGAGCTCGACTGAGAATGGAGAAAGCAAAGTTAGACAATGGAATCTTAAAAACGAAACAACTTCAACAAAATCTGAGCCCTCATCAAATCTACCGAGTGAAAGATAAATTATATTTCCTTACCAGCTTCAGGATTCGCAATAACATGGTTGAATGCCTTTAAGCCCGGGCTACCCTCAGCAACTATTTCTGCATCTAAACCCCCCGAGCTCGACTCATCTTCTCTCAAATCCCACTTCGAAGTTTTGGAACAAGGGTCAAATGACTGACTCAAAGGCTGACAAGGACTGGCATCAATATCATCGTTATTTTGAAGTCGCATAATCGGTAATGATTCTACCAACCGTTCCATCTCTTCTCCAGAGATACCCTTTTTCCTCTCTATGTCAATCGGCTCTGACAAGGACTTTGGGTTATCCACGCCGTTTTCAGGACTAGTATCATTTTCATCAAAAATCTCTTTCCCATCAACTTTTAGAGTATCATGAAAAGTTGACCCTCCAGAACTACTCCCACTAGGTTTACATTCGTCAAGATCGCTAAAGGAAAACTGTTCCTCTTCTATCTCTGGTTGCAATATGCTTGCTCCATTTGTTGACTGAGACTTTTCTAAATTTCCTACCGAAAAATGCATATCGTCCATGATGATTTTATTTTCATCTTGAAAAGGAGAGCAAGTGTTGCTTCCTTCTTGAGAAGTACCAATGCTTCCCAAGTCTGCTTGTTCAGCAGCAACCAATGTTATATTCTCAACAGATTCAGGAGACGTTAACAGTTCACGCTTAGAATCCAGTTCGCATCCAGTAACAGACTCCTAGTGGAGATACAATTTATACAAGACATCAGTCCTATGCATTCGATAAGCCGAGAAAATGAGATTGATTGAAGGACTAACCTGTGCTACCGGCTCGGTTGTTGTGTTCACAGTCATAGCCTCCACACAGATGTCTACTTTTCCATCGCTAGAAACGGAGAACACCATACTAGATGCTTCACAAGAACCATTTTCAACAAGAAGTGACTGAACTCCACTTGATGCATTCTCTTCACAATAATCTTCCACATTACTCTTTTCGCGAAAATCCTGCTCTTTCTCATCGAGAAACCGCAATGTAGGAGATGCATCAAGAGGACTCTCCAAAATCGAATTGCTATCTACTAACGTCTCCGGCACAACACAAGAGATACCATCAACCACCTCCCCCAAAGAAACCTCACTAGCACTAATCACACCATTCTCTTTGTCATCCAAAGACTCAGAAGCTTCTTCGCCTTTGCAAGTCTTACGCGTATCGATATTAGTAGACCATTTAACATCCAAAAGATCAGCAGCAATCTCAGCTCGCTCCATAGAACTCACCCTTCCCACAGCAGCATCATCTTCGTTTAGCCTGGTGGTCTCTCTAGCTGATCCCCCACCAAACACAAACCCTAGAATCCCAGGCTTCCCAACAATCTTCCCATTAGCACCACGAGGACTACCAGAATCATAGTTACAGCTCTTAGACTTCAAAGGTATCTTAATCTTATCAGCATCATCACAACTCTTTCTCGTCGTCGTCTCAGCTTCATCACCAGAAGACAAAGTGTAAACTTCACCACTCTCTGCTTCACCAACAACATCCTCAACTTCCCTAAGAAAATAAGCTTGACCAGTATGAGCCAAATACATATTGAAATCTGCATCAACACCATTGACCTCAATCTTGATCAAATTCCTCCTGTTCTTCAAAACCCCTTGAAATTTCCCGAATCGAACATACCAAGGAGACGATTTGAATGACCCGTCAGGTTGCTCGACGACGATAATGTCAATCGCACCACCAAAAGGATGGAACGGACCAGAAACCGTTCCTACTCCTCGGTAGATGTAGCTTCCGATCCTACCGACTGCGTTCATTCTCGAAAACCCAGATCGAAATTTCCGATCTTGAATCCAAATTAGGAAACTTGATTGATCGCACGGATCGATCAAATCATCATCTTTGCGGAAAAAACACAAAACTTTAAAAAAACCCAAATTCGATTGAAGAAGAAGGAAATGGTTAAAACGAAGAGTTTTGATTGGTTAAAAAGGTATATTCTGTTGGAATGATCCGAAGGAGACAGAGAGGAAGATGATGATCATCGTCATTAATTCTTGCCGCCGAGTATTATTTGCTCGGTGGGGTTCGATTTCGTAGTGATCCAATTTTTAGGATTTTCAATCTTCGTGCTTAGTCAATAAGTAGATAAAATCATTAATGTCTTCACCAACTTGAGATTATTATTATTTTATTTTATACATATCAATTTATATAGTTTTCTCCGCAATGTGTCATTACATTTTGTCAATCTCTAAAACGATTAGGCATCAAACGTGTAAATATCGGATAAAAACACTAATTTTTTCTGATGTATAAAAAAAATCACACTAATTCGAAATATACCGAACCGAACCGAACCAATACTATGAGTACTCAAAGACACTGGACGAGCTCACCTAACGCAATACTAAACTTGTAGTTAAGTAGAGTAGCACAAAACAACATGATCCAT